TGGCTGGTAGCTAGCAGGGAGTATGGGCTGGAGGCCTTAGAAATCCCTAGCCATAAGGGTAGCTATGGGGGCAGTACATGCTATGTACCCATGTGTGGTAATAAAAGTTTGCCTCTGGTTTTCAAAAAAAAAAAAAAAAAAAAAAAAAAACACCCACACATGCAACCAAACAAAGTGGGAGAGAAGGAAGTAAAGCCAAGGCAGCCATTCCAGCCCAAGCGCCCCCCTGACTTGAAGGGAAGAGTACGAAGGAAAGAGGAAGAAAACGAGATGGAAGGAAAACGTGCGAATACGGGGCAGAGTTCGAGAAGAAGAGCAAATGGAAAGATCGGAAGAGGAGTGAGCAAGAGAACGAGAGAGCGAGCGAGAGAGAGAGAGAACGCAAGGAAGAGAAAGGGAGAGAGAGAAAGAGAGAGAGAGAGGGAGAGGGAGGGAAAGAGAGCGAGAGAGAGCGAGAGAGAGCAAGAGCGAGAGAGAGAGAGCGAGAGCGAGAGAGTGAGAGCGAGAGAGAGAGAGAGAGAGAGAGAGAGAGAGAGAGAGAGAGAGAGAGAGAGAGAGAGAGAGAGAGAGAGAAAGAGAGTGAGAGCAAGAAACATGGAGAAAGGAAGACTAGAGGAGGGAGGATACAAGGAGAGACGGAAGGCGTAGCACCGAGTATGCATAAGCCCCCGGGCTGGTCCTATGGGCAAAGGCTAATCACCCAATACACCACACCCCGGTTGCCCCACGTGCAGTAGCGGACGACAAGTGGCGAGAGGCGGAATGGGACCCATACGAGAACGCGGTCACAGATGACACAGTGAAGGTCATGCGCAACCGATTGCGTAACCAACTGCATTGGTGGATATCGTGGTGCGACAGCAGTTTTATCATCTCTATTATTGCCAGGGGATATTGGCTGCCTTGGAAAACTACAGAACCGCCACCCTTCGAAACCACAAACCACGCGGGTGTTCATGCACACACCACGTTCACTCGTGAGGCCATTCGCGACTTAATCACATCGGGCGCGGCAACCAAGGTCGCCTCGCGGACTGCGCTCTCGTGCGTGAGCCCACTCAACGTGGTAGAACAACGCGACAAATGTCGCCTCATCCTCGACCTACGCAAGGTCAACCAACACCTCCAAGTCACTAAATTCAAATACGAGGGCCTGAATCGCGTTTCGGAGATCATTCGACGCAACGACTGGCTGTTCACCATTGACCTAAAATCGGGCTACCACCATGTCGAGATGCACCCTTCGTGCTGGAAGTTCCTAGGCTTCCAATTCGAAGGCGAGTTCTACTGCTTCCGAGCCTTGCCGTTTGGACTGGCGACAGCACCTTTCGTCTTCACCCAGTTGATCAAGCAATTGGCCAAACGCTGGCGGGCGCGGGGCGTGCGCGTAGTCCCATATGTGGACGACCTGCTATTCCTCTGCGACTCGGCGGAGCACGCACGCAAGACATGCACAGAGGTTCTCCGAGACCTCGGGGCGGCAGGTTTCGTGATCAACGAAAAGAAATCACGCCTCCAGCCGGCCCATCAAACACGATTTCTGGGGATGGAGCTGGACACGACATGCGGCATGTTTAGCATCGGCTCCGATCGGCGAGCGCAGTTCCTCGACAAGCTGCACACACTCATCTCCAAGGGGCAACGCGGCCAGCAAGTCCCAATTCGGGAAGTCGCTCGTATCACCGGAATGTTGAGCTCTATGTCCCTCGCATTGGGCACAACAGCACGCGCCTTCAGCCACGAGCTGCTACAATTGATCGAGACAGCGGCATCCTGGAACTCAAGGATCGGGCTGACACGGGCCGCCATCGAGGAGCTAATCTTCTGGCAACTGCACTTCGACCAGTTTAACGGTGCCCCATTTCACCTAAGCCATCAATTCGATGCTGTGATCCACGTCGACGCGAGCGCTCACAGCTGGGGCGCCACCCTCACCAAGTTTACCGACGCGTCGTACGAAGCAAGCGCCAGCATGCCGAGCGAGCTCCTCCCAACCTCAAGCACTCAAAGGGAGCTCGAGGGTGTCCTCTGGGCGCTACAGACATTTGCGTCCCATCTCACAGGCGGCCACGTTTTGGTTCGCGTGGACAACCAAGGAGTCATGTTTATCTTGCGCAAAGGGGGGTCCAGTCAACCTCGGCTCACACTGACTTGTCAAGCAGTCATACAGTTTTGCCTCAAGAACCATACACGTCTGGCAATCGAATGGATCCCAAGGGAGCTCAACGCCCACGCGGACGAACTGTCAAAACTCCAAGACCATGACGACTACTCGCTGCACATGCCATGGTTTCGCCTACTGGAACGTCGATGGGGCCCCCATACGATCGACCTTTTCGCGAACATTAGCAACAGGAGGCTGCAACGATTCTGCTCCAAGATACCGCACCCAAGTGCCACAGCAATTGACGCGTTCTCGATCTCGTGGAAAGGCGAGCGGTGCTTCACCTTTCCGCCCCCCGGCTTGATCCCAGCCACACTCTCTCACGCCAGGCGCACACAAGCCGAGTTGACACTCGTCGTCCCCAAGTGGCCGGGAGCAGCATGGTGGCCGTTGCTACAACCCTCCCCAGAGACATGGGCCCCAGAAGTGATCGCATGCTTGCCACTCGCTCAAGGCAGCCAGTGCCTTCGACCTGGTTCGCATGCAACAGCATTTTCCGGACTAGGCCTACCCCATAGCCCAATAATTGCCTTGCATGTAAAATATCATACGTGACTAATATTCGAGTGTTAATTCTTTCAGGATTATTGACCCAGCTTCAAAACCAGCTGTTACAAGTTATAAATGATGTTCGCGCACCATCTACGATCGAGACATACCAGCCTTACTGGCTCAAATTTCGCAACTTTTGCACCCGAGTCAAGCTAGCTTTTCTGCCAGCGACGGACCTCACGCTGGCACTCTACCTAGTCCATGCGTTGAACAACAAGGCAACAACGTCAGCGATCAACCTCACATGCTCTGCCGTAGCCTTCGCCCATCGAATGACTGGAGAGGAATCCCCAACGAACGGCGCGTTCACGCTGCAAGTACGAGAGTTCGCTAAGCGACATGGCCTACGCCCAACAAGGACCAAGGAACCCGTGTCACTACATCAAGTGCAGAACATGGCACGACCATTCCTGGAATCAACAGTGCCGGCGGAATATCAGAAAGGCTTGATACCTCTCTTGATGTTCGCGGCATTCCTGCGCTACTCCGACCTGATCTCCCTCCAATGGAACGACATTCAGTTCGAAGGGGAGGCAATGTGGCTACTGATTCCCTACTCTAAGACGGACCAAGAAGGCAAGGGCACGTGGATCCCGGTCGCAGCGTCAGCAGGGCCCTACTGCGCAGTGAGATGCACACGGGAGTTCATTCGCATCGCAGGCCTTGCAAACATGCCTCACGGGCCACTGATTCGGGTTTTCAACAAAAGGGCACAGGCCTCGCCGCACGACAAATTGCCTTCATACCCAACCATTCGGAGCTGGTGCCTCGAGGCGTGCAAGAAGGCAGGGCTCGACGCCACACACATCGGGACACACTCATTCCGCAAGGGCGCGGCAACGGCAGCAGCGGCGTTAGGCATCCCTGACCGGCTCTTCAAACGAATGGGGCGATGGCGCAGCGACGGCGCGAAGGATCTCTACGTCACCATCGCCCAAGACCAACTCATCGACCTCTCCACCCGGCTGCAGGACACCTCTGCAGCCCCGTCGCCTGGTCGGCACCAGCAATCGTTGGAGAGGCACCGCCGACCCAAAATGCACTTGCCTCAGAAGACCCACTTGGAATGAAGCACGCTGCCTTTGCAAGATGGACTAAGCAAGCTTTCACAATATTATAATTTTTAAAAGTGTAACACTTTTTCAAATTTCGTATTGTGAAAGCGAGGACGTGGCCAGCAAAGCAAAGGTAGCGGCTCGACGCTACTCACCCCTCTTTTGCCTACAAAAGAGGGACGTGGGTTCAGTCGCCTTCACCCACGTTCTTCATTTCCAACTTTTCTAGTTTACTTTCCCACCACCCACCCCATTGTGTATCATTTATGAACGAGAACGTTGTATTACCCACTTGGAATGAAGCACGCTGCCCCACTTGGAATGAAGCACGCTGCCTTTGCAAGATGGACTAAGCAAGCTTTCACAATCCCAACAAATCTGATGTCCAGGATTCAGAAATTCCTTCTAGTGAGAAGTTGCCACAAAATATTTCATGAGCTAGCAGGATAAACTTACGTGATAATAGTGTGTGACGAATGGACTAACTAGACCAGGAGTCCAAGTGAATGTCCACTTGCAAACAAAGGACGTTCAAATGGGGCGCATAATACTGGTATTCGACACCGTCGTGTCGTGTCACACATTTTAAATGAGTGCATGAGAGTTTACTGTATAGGAGGAATAGCAATGGCCTAGCTGTCACATACCGTAAAACAGGGATTGCCGACACCAGGAAATTACTCAGGCCCCAGCACAATCCCACTGGTACCGTATAATTGAGCAATGTGACGATTACCCAACCGAGCGGGGGCATTCTGGAACATCTGTGAGCTCACAAGAGCCGGTTTTCATCCCGTCTGCCCGCACTTCACTGCTCAGCACGAGCCGACACCGCTCCCCACTGCACTCAACACTGGTACAAATCTACCACCGCTCACCCCCTCACCAGTCTCCTACCTGCAGACAGCACCAGTCACATCAAGGAGTTCCTTTTTTTGCGGCGCCTAAAAAATCGGTACAAATCACTCACTACTCAACCCCTCCCTCCCTCCCCCTGTCCCCTACACACAGACAGCACCAGCCACATCATGGAGCTACAAGGGACACAAACCGCCCCCCCTTCACACTCATCACATCACTACATACCTTCCCCCTCCCCCGCTGCACAAGGCGCTGCTCTTCCAGTCCCACACAACCCCCCAACAGCCCCCCACAATCCCTCATCCCTCCTATCCCCTCTGCGCACACGGCAGCAGTCACCTGGCAGAGTACCCGCCCCTGCCCACTCATCACATGACAGAGTACCGCCCCGGCTGCACGGGGCGCTGCTGGTGGGATGCATCAGCAGCACTCGCCTCTTCGATAATCCTCTTGATCTCCACCTTGGCCTTCTTCACACTCGCCTCCGTTGGCCCCTCGATCGACAAATACAGCTTCTTCTCCCCGGCCGCTAATGCCTTGCCCGGCGGGCAGTACAGCCCGCGCGTCGTCACCGACGCGCCGGTCCATTCAATGATCTGGTTTAGGGTTTCCTTGTGGGTGATCTTCCACCGCGCGTGCTGCGGGAACTCGTTGATCTCGAATTCCGCTTCGTAGTGTGCTTTCACGGGCTCGGCGGGTTGGAGTTTGGCTAAGTTGTGCTGCAGGCTGATGGCTGCTGCGAAGGCCGCTGCGCGGGAGACGGGGGTCGGGGCTGCGGCGGCTGCTGAGGCGATGGCCGTCGCTGCTGATTCCCCTGCTGCTGCTGCTCCCACGAGGGAAGCAGCAAGGGGATTGGCAAGGGCAGCAGCAGCAGCAGTAGCACCGGCTGCACCAGCGGAGCCAGCAGCAGGGGTGATGCCCATCTGGGCCATCCTTGCTTGCACTGCTGCTTGGATTGGGTTCGCTGCTGCAGCTCCTGCCACTGCCGGCACTGCACCTCCTGCCTTGTTTGCTGCAGCTGCAGCCGCAGCAGCCGCCACCGCCGCTGCAATGCTCTGCGCTGCCGACGCCGCTGCACCACCCGCACTCGTAGCCTCGACCCTCCGAATCGCCCCGCTGCCCTCCTTCTCCTCCTCCTCCTCGCCCCCCTCCTCCTCATCCACCACCACCCCATACTCCTTCGCCTGAGCTTTCTTCAGAGCCTTCTTAGCAGCTTCCTCCTCCTCATTAAACTTAAAGCCACTCCCACCGTACCCACTCCCATGCGCCACCACGCTCCCCGCCTTCACCTTGGCAGTGAACGCATCAGCCATGGCTTTAAGATCCTCCGGAATCGGCTGCTTCGAAAGCTCCAAGGCTCGGACCAGGTCCGGCGCAAACCGATCCTCCTCCGGACTAATAAACGTCACCGCGCACCCTTTCCTCCCGGCCCTCCCGGTCCTCCCCACCCGATGCACATAATCCTCGTAATGGTTCGGCACATCGTAGTTAATTACCAGCTCTAACTCCTTAACATCTAGTCCTCGAGCCGCCACACTAGTAGCCACGAGCAGGTTGCACACGTTGGTTTTGAAGTCCTGCAGGGTGGACTCGCGGTCGGTCTGGTCCTTGGCGCCGTGCAGCGAGAGGCAGGGGTATCCGGACTTGAGGAGATCGCGGAAGAGCGCGTCGCACTTGTCCTGGGAGTGCACGAACACCAGGATCTTGCCCTTGTCGCACCACTCGCCTAGTAGCTCGAGGAGCCGCAGGAAGCGCTGCTCTCCCTCTGGACGCACCTCGACCGTCTGTGTGATGTCGCTGTTGACAACGCTGCGCCCTCCCACCTGTGGAGGATTGAGGGGGGGATGGAGAGAGGGGAGAAATGAGGAAGATTTAGAGCATTTTCTGAAAAGAGAATTCGAAAAGGAGAATGATCAACGCCATATTATCAAAATCGGGCTCCTGAAACGGCCGCCCTCCAAGCGGACGTCAATGGTGCGAGTGATGAGAGAGGAAGGGGATCGAGCAGAGCGGAGGGAGTCAAAAGGGGAAAGAGGGAACAGCTTCGCTGTGTGTGATGCTGAGTGCGATGCTGGGCGCGCTGAAAGCGGAGGGTACAGCGCCGCTGGGTGCGCAAGAAGAGGGCTGGTGAGAAAGGGGTAGGCAGAAGAGGAAAGAGGACAAGAACAGAAATGGGGAGAGGACACAGATGGGGTGAGAGAGCCAGATAGAGACAGACAGAGAATGACCCACCTGGATCTCAATGGGCTTCGTGAGCACCTTCCGCGCCAGGGTCTCGACCTGGCGGGGGAAGGTCGCGGAGAAGAGCACCGTCTGGCGGTCGGGCCTTGTGTTCCCGATGATCCGTCCGATCTGCGGCTCAAAGCCCATGTCAAACATGCGGTCTGCCTCGTCCAGCACCAGATACGTCACCCTCCTCAGATTCGTGATGCGCCCGTTGCTGGTCGCCAGGATGTCGATCATGCGCCCGGGCGTGCACACCACCACCTCGGCGCCGCGTTTAAGCTCGCTGATCTGTTGGGCCACGCCAGAGCCGCCATAGACGGGCACGCAGGAGAGGCCGAGGGGGCGCGCGAAGCGGCGGATGTCGGCGAAGATCTGCTGCACGAGCTCGCGCGTGGGGGCCAGGATGAGACCTATGGGGCCGTCGCCTGACTGCAGTGGGGGCTGCAGGAAGGCAAGGGGGGAAGGAAGTGCAGGGAAGCAGAGGGAACGGCGAAAAGGGAGGAAGGGTGGATGGGTGGGTGGTCTGATGCTGCACCAAGCCCCGCCTTTTGAGTCGACTCAAAAGCAGTCTGATGCTGCACCAAGCCCCGCCCTCCATTGCGAGGTCAGCAGGGTACTCCCAGGAGAGGAGCAGAGCGGCGCATGTCGGTTAAGATCTGCTGCACTAGCTCCCTCCTGGGGGCCAGGATGAGGCCTATGGGGCCGTCGCCGGATTGCAGTGGGGGCTGGTGCGGGGAAAACGGGGGAGGAAGTGCTGGGGGGGGGGGGAGAGGGGGGAGGGGGAGGAGAGCTGTAGCTCGGTGGTCTGCTGCACGATCTGCCTCATGGGGGCGAGGATGAGACCTATGGGGCCATCGCCGGATTGCAGTTAGGGCTGCAGGCGGGCAGGGAGGGGAGCAGAGGGAAGTGGAGCGGAGCGGAGGGGAGCAGAGAGGAGTGAAGGAGAGTGGATGGAAGCAGAGGGAAAGACGTGTGGGGGAATGCTGGGGCTCACTCGCTTTGTGCCATCCTATTCCTCTCCACCCCACCCCCACCCACCCACCTGGTCCATGATGTGCCGCAGCATGGGCATGGGCAGCACCAACGCCAGCGTCTTCCCCGACCCAGTCTTGCCAATCCCCAATGCAGTCGCGCCCGCTCGTCACAATTGGCAGCGCCTGCACCTGAATCGGCATCGGCTTCTCAAACCTTCCCACGCACTCCGCACCTGGTCCTTGACATGTCATGCTACGCTACGCCTTCTCCCAATCCCAACCCCCTCGCCCTTTCTCACCCCTTACCTGGTCCATGATGTGCCGTAGCATCGGCAGCACAAACGCCAGAGTCTTCCCCGACCCCGTCTTGGCAATCCCAATGCAGTCGCGCCCGCTCATCACAATGGGCAGCGCCTGCGCCTGGATCGGCATGGGGCGCTCGAACCCCATCTTCTTGAGCACGTCCAGCACCTTGTTGCTCAGCCCGCTCTGCACCCACGTGTGCACCGGCTTGGGCACGTCCTTGCCGCGCAGCTTGAACTCGTGCTCGCGCCGGTACAGCGCCACCTCGTCCGCTGTCATCTTCGCCACTTCCTTCACTTCCTTGTAGAAATTCTTTCGGAAAGGCTCGTAGTGCACCTGCCAGGGGTTCATGGGAAAGGGAGGGATGGGGCGAAAAAGGGGGGAAAGGGAGAGGGAGGATGGTGGGGGAGAGTGGGGGGTGAGGCTCCTCAAGGACTGGCTTGGGCACGTCCTTGCCACGCAGCTTGAACTCGTGCTCGCGCCGGTACAGAGCTGTCATCTGCTGGCTGCTGTCATCTGCTGGCTGCTGTCATCTGCTGGCTGCTGTCATCCGTGCCACATCCTTCCTTCACCTCCGTTTAGAGCTCTTTTAGAATGGCGCATAGTGCACCTGCCACCTGCCTGCCAACGTGTACGGGTTTGTGTGAATAAGCGAGGTTTGAAACTTTTCAGGCGCCTCGAATAGCTAGCGAGGCGTTTCATCAGGTGCGTGAATTTCTCTTGAGACGTCTCAAAGGAGCGGAAGGGCTTGCAGTGCACCTGCCCTGCCCGCCAGTGTTCGTCGGGGATGTGAAGGTAGGTAGCTCACTGACCTCAAGGTAGAAAGCCTTCAAGGTACTAGAAGAAGACTTTATCGAGTCCGTTCTTGACGATTTCGAAACGTTTGACCCTCAAACACCATCCTGCGAGGCCTTTTGAACGAGGGCGCACAGTTTGATAAGAACAGCTCTGACGCGTTTCAAAGGATTTGAACAGCCCATAGCGCACCTGCGAGTGGTCCACAGGGGCGAGTTTCTCCGCCTTGGTCTGCGCCACGGCCGTCACTCGCTTCACAAACTCCGCATCCTCCTCCTCTCCCTTCTTTCCGCCCTCTCCCCCCTCCTCGCCCTCTCCCTCCTCATCACCTGACTCGCCTGCCCCTCCCCCCTCGTCCTCTGATTCAGAGTCAACACCAAACACCATGCGCCCCTTGGGTCCCTTGCCCTTCCTCTTCCCCTCTGCTTTCCCTTTCTCCTTCTCCTTCTCCTTCTCTTTCTTTCCCTTGGCGCCACCCTTGTCAGCCCCTACAACAGCCCCCGCGCCCATCAGCGCATCTCCACCGTTGGCAGCATGGGACGAACTGCTGCCACCCACTGCCGGCTCCGTGCTTCCCGTGGGGGCGGCGGGCCGGGTGGCATCCTTGGCATCTAGCTTGGTGACCTCTGGGAGCACCAGCGAGTTCATGAACGCGTCTAAAGGATCCACTTCCTCTTCCTCCTCTGCTGCTTCTTCCTTTGCTGCCTCCTCCTCCTCCTTGCCCTTCCCCTTCAGATCCCTTTTCTGCTTCTCTCCCTCCTCTTCGTCCTCCCCCTTCTCTCCCTCCCCTCCCTCGTCCAAATCCATTCCCCGTCCCTCCTCTCCCTCCCCCTCTTCCTCCACTTTCTCCTTCCCCTTCCCTTTCCCCCCTTTCCCCTCCTTCCCCTCCATATCCCCGGCGGCCCCCTTCTCCTCTTCATCATCCGACTCCCCATCCAGAGTCCACCCGCGCCCCTTCCCCTCGCCACCCGCCTGCGCCGCGCTGCTCCCCCCCGCGCCCCCGCTTCCGCCCTCCCCCCCTGCGCCTGCAGCTGCGCGCGCCTGCTCCTCTTCCGCCTTCTTCCGCCGCTGCTCCTGCCACTCCTGCACTCTCCGCCTGCGCCTCTCCATCTCCTCCGCCAGCCTCCGCTGCTCCGCGTCCATCTCCTCCTCCCCCTCACCGCCCTTCCCCTTCTCCTTCACCTTCTCCTCATTCCCCTTCTCTTCCTTCCCCTTCTCCTCTTTAACCTTCTCCTTCCCCTTCCCCTCATCTTTCCCCTTCTCCTTCTCCCCCTTCGCCTCTGCGCCTCTCTCACCCCGCCCAACCTCATCTTCTTTAACGCGTTTCCGCCGCCCCTCCTCCCCCTGCGCCTTCCTCCCGCCATCATCCCCTTCATCGTCCGCCTCTCTCCTTCGCCTTCTCGACTCCCGATCCCTCTCCCTCTCCTTTTCCCTCTCCCTCTCCCTTTCCCTTTCCCTCTCCTTTTCCCTCTCCCTCTCCTTTTCTCTTTCCCGCTTTTCTCTCTCTTTTTCCCTCTCCCTCCTCTCTCTCTCCCTCTCCCTCTCTCTTTCTCTCTCCCTTTCCCTCTCCTTCTCCCGTTCCCTCTCCCTCTCTCTTTCCCTCTCCCTTTCCCTCTCCCTCTCCCGTTCCCTTTCCTTCTCTCTCTCCCTCTCCCGCCGCATCTTCTCCCTTGCTCGCTCTTCCCTCTCGCGTTCGTCCGCTCTCTCCCTCTCAATCCTTTCCCTCTCGCTCCTCTCTCTCCCTTTGCCCTTCTCCTTCTCCCGCCCCACCTCGCGCCCCTCGCGCTCACCCCCTTTCCTCCGCAAATCTTCCTCCCTTCGCGCCACTCCCCCCTTCGCTTCCCGCCCAACCAATTCCGGCCCATCCTCCTCCTCCTCCTCGTCCCACTCCTCGCTCTCCTCGTCCTTCCTACCAGGCCGAAACGATCGTTTGTGCGTCCCACCCTTCTCTTCCCTTTCCCCGTCCTCATCATCGTCTCGAAACCCTTTTCCCTTCTTAAAGCTCACTTTCCCGGACTCTTTACCTCCCGAGACACCCAATTTCCCCTCCTCGCCCTTCAGGCCTTTCCCTTCTTTCGCCTTCCCATCGCCATTGACTCGCCTGTGCATCCCGTCGCGTTTCTTCCTATGCACGAGATCCGCTTCTTCGTCGTCATCCTCATCCGCAGAATATTCGTCCGACGAATATTGAACCTTAGGCCGCTCCTTAAGCGACACGTCAGCCGCACCCTTTGCTCGCTTGTCGCTCGCAGAACCTTTCGCAACCTTCCTCCTTTCGCCAGCATCCGTCCCTCGGCCTCGCGACGCGACAGATTCTTTCGCACGCTTTCCCTTCGGCATCGCGTCCTCGTCAGACGAATAATCGTCACCCGAGTCGCCCTCCGTCGGCCTCCGGAACGCCTTCCGTCGGTGACCGTCACCGTCCTCGTGCTTAGGTCGCGTCCCTTTCCGAAATTCCTCTTTTCGGCTCGACATCTTAGCGATAGTAGATCTTGCAAAGCTTGCACCACGGAGGCTAAGCGGGATCGGTGGAGAAGGAGGCTTCCTTCTGGGATTAGATCCAAGGCCTGCTCGACATCTAGGTATGGGAGTGATGACCGCCTCCGTAAATTGCAACCGGGGTGAAACAAGTGAGCAATCTGAGAGGTGTTCAACCATTCTCGCATGCTGCTGGGCAGCTGGCTTTGTGAAAATACCGTCATTCACCGATATAAATCTGTTTGCACCCCGTGTAGATTCTCAGATAATGCTTTCAAAGCCTCTCCGAACCTCCCAGATACCAATGGGTTTCGCGAAAACAGCGGTAGAAAAGCGTACCCACCAAGCCCACGGGACATCTCTAGAACCATTTCCCAACCTCGTTTCGAGGCTCAGATTTGGCGAGACCGGCGAAACCCCAAGCCCTCTCAACGAAAACCACTTTCATAGTCAACGAAAGAACCTCGATTTCGCCAACAAAACTTGGGGAGTTGTTGGGGACAGTTCACGCGACTGCAGTGTTGTTGAATCCCGCTTCTTGTTCGTTGCTCACTGACTGACCTACAACCACGACAACCGTGCTTCTTGAATCCGTCTGCCAGTCTTACCTTTGACGGTGTATTGTTTCTTGGAGAGAGGAAGCAGCTTGAGGCTGCGGATGGTTGATCCATCGGTGCGCTCGTTAAGGCTCTTCTTGTTTGTCCTGCGAGTAATTACCTTAGTCTGGTAACTCTGTAGAAGAACAGCGCTACTGGGAGCAGCGCACTGACCGTCGTCGTGCAGTCGTGAGCACGACCCGTTGCGAGCAGCAGGGACGGCGACGAAAGGATTTAGAGGCTGGCTGCGATAATCGGCGTCTTTCCTGACTGCGGTGGACCGCGATAAGCAGCGGTAGACAGGGATAAGCAGCGCGCGGTAATGGACGGCGGCGTAGGGAAAGCAGGTCGGGATAGACCTTCGTCGAGGTCGCATCCATACGACAAACGAAAGGTTTGTACCTCAATAGCGACTTCATCTCCATACGCACCTTTCGTTTGCTTCCTCGTCGTTTCTCCTCCCTCGACTTGTCACCTTCGTATAGAAAGCTCCAAGCAGAACCAGCTTCACCATGATAGCTTTGCCCCTGCTTCCTCCCCCTTCCCTCCCCGCCGCTGCCTCCCCCATCCCTAACCCCCGCTCCCTCCCCCCTGCTTCCTCCCGCTCCCTTCACCTTCTCTCCTCCCCCACCCGTTCCGCACCCCCTCCCTCCCTCCTCCGCACCGTCCCACCCACAGGAGTCGTCAGGCAGGTCGGGCCCGCCGCCGGATGAGCGCACAGAGAACAAGCTGTATGTGGGCAACCTGGACCACCGCGTCACCGAGTGAGTGTTGGACCACCGCGTCACCGAGTGAGTGTTGGACCACCGCGTCACCGAGTGAGTGTTGGACCACCGCGTTACCGAGTGAGTGTTTTAAATACACTTGTATATACATAAACATATTTATCTACGCACACACGTATATGTATGTACACGCACATATATGTACACAATTATAGATATTGAGTTGCATGTGGGAAACTCTGGGTGAGGGAGTGAGTGGTGCACTTGCAAGGGTGCCGGCAAGTGCTGCATGCTGTGTGTGATGTAAGTACCATGTGACCTTGGTGTTTGGGCCACGTGGCAATATTCATGCCACGTGTCATACATGCTGCCCCCCCCCTGGCAGGTACCACGTGATCAACATGTTCACCCTGTACGGCAACATGACCTTTCGGTCGACTCAAAGGTCACTTCTTTATCGACATGCGCCATGCCGCTGTCGCATGCTGCTCGTCCCGCAGGTACCACGTGATCAAGATGTTCACGCCGTACGGCAAGATCCGCCGAGAGGAGTACCTGTGGCACACGTACGGGCCCAAGAGGGGCGAACCTCGAGGCTATGCCTTTGTCGAGTACAGCAAGCGAGAGGTGGGTGGAGGAGCAAAGAGGTTGGTGGCATGGAGAGGTGGGTTTCAGGAAGCGAGAAGTGGGTTTGGGGTGAGATTGAGACTTGTTGAAGGGCACAGCAAGAGGTCCGTCTAACTCGTGGTAAGGCTAATGCTGAAACTATCTTCTCGCTCACTCTATCTCCTCCTTACTCACACCGACTCCTCACTCACACGAAGTCCCTATTCACACGACCTCCCCTTTTACACCATTTCCCCCCATCAATCAGGAAGCTGAGCTTGCGCGATCCAAAATGAACGGTCGGATGGTGTTTGGGCGGCCATTGGTGGTGCGATTCGTGGATGAGAAGGTGGTCACGTACAACACCGATGCCCCCGTTTGGAACCGAAACACTTCCACCACCACTGCTGCACCCGCCACTGCTGCTGCTTCTGCCCCTGGTGCTCCTGGTGCTGCTGGGGCTGCAGGTTTGGGGAGAGGAGGTGGGGGTGGAGGAGCAGCGGTGGCAACAGCATCGGCAGCAGACAGTGCGAAGCGGGCGCGGGTGGCGGCGATTCAGAGCAAGCTGAGAGCCATGGAGCAGGAGGACCGGCAGCGCAAGCAGGGGCAGGCTCCCAAGACTATGAACATGATTCGCCCTCCGCCTTCGGGGTTTGGGGGTGGGTTCCCCCCTGGAGCTGGGAGAGGGGATGGGGGAGATGGTGGAGGAGGGGATAGAGCTGGAGGGGAAGGGAGAGGGGCGGGAGGGGGTTATTCACGGACGCTGTTGCAGTCAGGAACGAGATGGTCATCATGGGGGTAGGTTTGGTTGCGTGCAGGATGGCTGGTTTGTTGTGGTGCATGTAATTCACTAAGAATCGTGCTGTAAGAACAGTGAAAGCAGGATGTGGCTTTTTCTGGTTTGAAGCAGCCTCGTGTTAGATGGATTTGAATCTCTCTGTCTTACTGTATGTCAGCGTTTTGAGCCCCCTCCATCCATTTTTCAAGGATGATTCTCTTTCATTAAGATTGTTCACCTAGTGTGGATTGCAAAGGTGTACTTGTAATCACTTCAGCATGCTAGTGTTGTTGTTTGACCTCGGAGATTGTAGCGAAGCCCTTAGATCCTTCTCGAAAATGTCATTTCTATTGGAAGGAGCCGAAAAGATTTTTCCGGTCTAGTGGGTCCGAAAGAACTTTCTGAACGACGTATCGCTTGATCAGTCACCTTTGTGATTGGCTACTTCAGTTTCGTGAAGTTCGCGAAGCAGGCACTTCCTTTACATCTCAGTCCACGTCAGCCTTCGCCAGCTTACAAGTGCCTTCGCCGCTTCGCCAAAGAACCATTACATTCTCGAAGCTTCCACGTGGCTGGTCTCCCGAAACCTCTGAGCGCCAAAGCAAGCTGCGATCTGTGTTGTGCGTGCCGTTGAGGGTTTAGCTCCAAACAGATTTATTCTTTCCGAGCAAACCATCTCTCGTGAATCCTTGATCTGCTTTTTGGTTGCTGTGCTTTCAGCAACTCCTACGAGGACGTTTATCTGCCGATCCAGATTCAACGATCTCACTTCCTGCTTCGGTGTGCTTCCTGGTTGATTCTTTCAAGTTACTTTCTCGCTAACTTGTTGATCGCCGTTAGTGACGACACGCCATGGCTTCAGAGGCTCAGGGTACCGATGTGGAGACGTTCGCTTTCCAGGCTGAGATCAACCAGCTGCTCAGTCTGATTATCAACACCTTCTACAGCAACAAGGAGATCTTCCTTCGCGAGCTCATCTCCAATGCATCTGACGTAAGCAATAACCGCTTTATTCCCAGCTGAAAAATGTTATGAATCTAATTATTTATCAATTCACGTACCTCATAAACTTACTGGGGATTGATTCTGCGGGTTGCTTGCAGGCCTTGGACAAGATTCGGTTCGAGTCGCTAACGGACAAGAGCAAGCTGGACAAGCAGCCGGAGCTGTTCATCCACATCGTTCCCGACAAGACCAACAAGACCCTCACCATCATCGACTCTGGCATCGGCATGACCAAGGCTGGTACGTTCCGCGCTTTGTGCTTTTCAAAATATCAGAACAGCGTCAGATGGATCTCTCACCAATCAAGCAGTTAGCCATGTATCATTATTTGCTAAACTTAATAATTTGCTGATTGGATGCATCTTTGTTGTGCAGATCTGGTGAACAATCTCGGAACCATCGCGCGATCGGGCACCAAGTCGTTCATGGAGGCTCTATCAGCGGGCGCGGACATCAGCATGATCGGGCAGTTCGGCGTGGGGTTCTACTCGGCGTACCTGGTGGCGGACAAGGTGGTGGTGCACACCAAGCACAATGACGACGAGCAGTACATCTGGGAGTCGCAGGCCGGCGGCTCCTTCACCGTCGCGCGCGACACCGGTAAGACTGATACTTTCTCTTCCTTCAGCGCGTGTGTATTACGGTTTCACAGTACACCAGTCTGCTTGTGTCCGAGTTGAGCTTGTAACCGAAATTGTACGAATTGTCGCTTACTTTCTCGTTCTGTCGCTCGATCTCGCCTTCTGTCGCCGATTGCCCCGTGCAGGCGAGGATCTCGGTCGCGGAACGAAAATCGTGCTGCACCTGAAGGAGGATCAACAGGAGTATCTCGAGGAGCGACGCCTCAAGGACCTGGTGAAGAAGCACAGCGAGTTCATCAGCTACCCGATCTCCCTCTGGGTGGAGAAGACGACTGAGAAGGAGGTGGACGAGGAGGACGAGGAGGAGGAGAAGGAGGAGGAGGAGGGCAAGGTGGAGGACGTGGAGGAGGAGGAGAAGAAGGAGAAGAAGACGAAGAAGGTGAAGGAGACGACGAGCGAGTGGGAGCTGATGAACAAGCAGAAGCCGGTGTGGATGCGCAACCCGGACGAGGTATCAAAGGAGGAGTACGCGGCCTTCTACAAGAGCCTCAGCAACGACTGGGAGGAGCCGCTCGCGTACAAGCACTTCTCCGTTGAAGGCCAGGTTAGTTGATCTACCTCACTGCTGCTCATTCTCCCGTGCCCTTCGTTTTGTGTTTTTATTAGATTTTCTCTATGTCCCCTGAAACGAGAAAGTACCAGACAATGAACCGAAGGGCTTGAAGCTAGTGAATACTCGAAACACCCATTATTACAATTTTAATTATTGTGTAAGCCGTCGCCTGCAAGTTCGCTAACGTCCCCCGCGCTCCCCTGACCCCCGCCCAGCTTGAATTCAAGTCGATCCTGTTCGTGCCGAAGCGGGCGCCGTTCGACCTGTTCGACGGGAAGAAGAAGGCGAACAACATCAAGCTGTACGTGCGGCGCGTGTTCATCATGGACAACTGCGAAGAGATCATCCCCGAGTACCTGGGCTTCATCAAGGGCATCGTCGACTCCGAGGACCTCCCGCTCAACATCTCCCGCGAGATGCTCCAGCAGAATAAGATCCTCAAGGTGTGTTTTCGGCGCCATCTATATACCGTTGTTTGGCTGCTTGTCTGAAGTCTGCCACCTGTCTGCGATGTCCCGGCCCCGTTCCCCCCCCCCCCCCCTTCCTCCCCCCCCCCCTTCCCCCCTTTCCGTCTCCACCGAATTCATTTGCACCACGTCTTTTGTTACTTGTTTAGAGGCGGCGAGCTACTGGTGCTTGCATCACTCCTGAGAGTTTCCAGTTCGAACGAACGAACAACGACCTTCAGGTCTCTTGTCATTCATTCCCTCCCTAACGCTCTCGTCCGCCCACGTGTCACCTCCAATCCCTCTCTCCAGGTGATTAAGAAGAACATCGTGAAGAAGTGTCTGGAGCTGTTCGCGGAGATCGAGGAGAACAAGGAGGACTACGCCAAATTCTACGAGGCGTTCGGTAAGAACCTGAAGCTGGGCATCCACGAGGACTCGCAGAACCGCGCCAAGCTGGCTGACCTGCTGCGCTACCACAGCACCAAGTCCGGCGAGGAGATGACGTCCCTCAAGGACTACGTCACGCGCATGAAGGAGGGGCAGTCCGTGATCTACTACATCACGGGCGAGAGCCGCAAGGCGGTGGAGAACTCGCCATTCCTGGAGAAGCTGAAAAAGCGCGGGTACGAGGTGCTGTTCATGGTGGATCCCATTGATGAGTATGCCGTGCAGCAGCTTAAGGAGTACGATGGGAAGAAGCTCGTGTCTGCCACCAAGGAGGGTCTGAAGTTGGAGGAGACGGAGGAGGAGAAGAAGAAGCTTGAGGAGACCAAGGCGGCTTTCGAGCCCCTTTGCAAGCTGATGAAGGATATCCTGGGCGACAAGGTGGAGAAGGTGCAGGTGTCGGATCGCATTGTGGATTCGCCGTGCTGCCTGGTGACAGGCGAGTATGGGTGGAGTGCGAACATGGAGCGGATCATGAAGGCGCAGGCGCTGAGGGACAGCAGCATGAGCAGCTACATGATGAGCAAGAAGACCATGGAGATTAACCCCGAGAATGGCATAATCCAGGAGCTGAAGAAGCGCGCTGATGCGGATAAGTCGGATAAGACTGTGAAGGATCTTGTGCTGCTGCTCTTCGAAACTGGTAAGCTCACTCGTTCCTTCCTTTGTGTATGTCGTCCCCAGCTTCTTTTACTCTGATAAGTTTTACCTCACGTTCGAACTGTCTACTTTTAATAACTCAGTGAGCTGCTGTCTACTTTTAATATCTCAGTGAGCTGTGGACATTACTGGTGCATGATACCATATGTCTGTTCCCTGTCTGCAGCCCTTCTCACCTCGGGATTCAGCCTGGAGGAGCCCAACACGTTTGGCGGCCGCATTCACCGCATGATCAAGCTGGGTCTGAGCATTGACGACGACATCCCTGCTGATGACGATGCTGACATGCCTGCTCTTGACGAGGGTGCGGATGAGGGCTCCAAGATGGAGGAGGTCGACTAAAATGTCAAGGGTTCGTGTAGGTGTATCTTGGTTTTGTTATTCTGTAAACTTGGTAGCAGTTTTGCGTGAAGCTGATGCTATAGAATGCAAGAGATTTTCCTGACATACACTAGGCAAGGCATTTTTTAGGGAAGGTTCCATTCCATGCATATGTGGGCCCTGTTCGGTAGCCGCTCCAGTCACACTGCGGTTGGTGCAGGTGCTCTACCTCGGCCCGATTTGTCAGAATGAGGAAATGGATGTTGCATTGATGTTGGTTGGGGTACATATGACAAACCCTAACTTTTGTACCCCCTAAGACAAACCTCACTACAGGCTACAACATTTGACACACCCCCATAGCCTAAGTGAGGGGTGTCTAGCAAAAACAAAAAAGAGTACGGTCACAAAACCAGTCCAAAAGAAAACAAAGCTCAGGGTGGATCACAACGTCACCACACACTCTGAGCTCAAGCAACAGTGGCCACAAGGCCAGTCCAAGAGATCACAAGTATATATAGTAAGTGTACAGACGAAGCAGGCAATAAACTCAAGTCTACGCATGACTAGAACCTGTGTCAACAAGGCCTAATTGCACACAACACCTCTGGTGGTCACAAGGCGGAAGCGCCTTGGTGAAGATGTCTGCAGTGTTGGCCTCGGACTCCACGAACTCGAAGCGAGCCTGTCCACGTCTCTGCAACTCTCGCAGAAGAAAGTACCTGACGTGAATGTGCTTCACTCTGCTCTCCAGTCGCGGCTCACGACAGAGGAGGATCGACGCCTTGTTGTCAGTAAACAAGGTCGGTGCAGAGCTCGGCCGCTCACCAAGGTCGGCGAGCAAGAAGGTCAACCACCGCAACTCCTGTGCCGCCATGGCACCAGCGTAAATCTCAGCCTCAGCTGTAGAGGTCGAGACAGAAGAGGAGCGCGTGGAACGCCAGGAAACAGCTCCAGAACCCAGACTGAAACAGTACCCCTGAGTAGACCTGTGAGTCTCAGCGTCGTCAGCGTAAGAGGAGTCACAGTGACCAGTGAGTACGACAGACTGCTGCCCTCCAAGAACTAGCCCCACGCCTGATGTAGTCGCTAGGTACTTCGCCACCCTCACAGCTGCCGTCCAGTGAACAGGACGGTGTCTCCCTGGCGCAACAAAGCGCGCAAGGATGCTGAGAGGGAAGGCGAGGTCCGGGCGAGTACAAGTCATCAGGTACATGAGGCAACCCACAAGCTCTGCGTAGGGACCACTAGGCTCAAACGGCTCGTCAGGAAAGGGACCAGTGAGTCTGTGGTCAACAGCGAGAGGTGTGCGCTGTACGGTGGAGTGCTGAAGCCCGAACCGCTGAAGGACCTGCTGCACCATGTGTGACTGTGAGAGTGTAATGGTGCGAGCGGCTCTGTCCCTGGTGATCTGCAGGCCAAGGTAGTGGCGCAGCTCACCAAGATCAGTGCACGTGTGTCTCTTCTGCAGTTCGGACTTCACGTCTGCCAAAGCAACCCTGTCCGAAGTGGCGAAAACGAGGTCGTCGACGTAGACCAAAACAAAGAACGGTGTGGAGCCACGACGAACGAACAGCGACGGGTCGGCAGAAGACGGCTGGAACCCAAGGTCAGAGAGGGTAGAACGCAGAGTGTCGTGCCACTCACGAGGGGCCTGGCGAGACCGTAAACAGGTCGCCTCAGCCTCCACTGGGTCCCAGGAGGGAAGGTGCCAGTGAAGGCCGAGGGACGACGCAACCAGACCTCCTCGTGTAGGCTGCCCTGAAGGAAAGCAGTGGAGAAGTCGAGAGAGTGTAACTCGTAGTCTCTCTGTGCTGCTACGTGTAGTAACACCCGAAGAGTGGTCATCTTCGGGGTAGGTGCGAAGGTCTGAAAGAAGTCAACTCCCTCGCGCTGACTGAAACCTCTAGCCACGTAGCGCGCCTTGAAGACCGGGGGAGATCCCGGTGGCCGCTTCACCCTGTAGATCCACATGCCGTCGACTACGTTCGCCCCAGGGGGGGGAACCTCATCGACGTAGGTGCCTGTGGATCTGTAGGAGGCCATCTCTGCGTCCATGGCAGCTCTCCACTGAGAGGCCCAAGGCCCTGACACTGCCTCAGCGTAAGTGCGAGGAGTCGGAATGTCAAGGGCGTCGGGGTCACCCTCAGGGGCGAGGAGCATGGCACAGAGATGAGGGGAAGCGGCCGCCAGGAACTCTAGCTCAAACTGCCTGTCCTCTAGGGCGTCACAGCCAAGGGCAGACACACCCCCGACGGCCAGAGGACTGGTAGGAGGAGCAGCCACAAGCGTGGTGGCGTAGTCAAGGCGGCGGGTAGAGGCAAAGTCAGTAACTGCGGCAGTAAGAGCGGACACAGAGGACACAGAGGCACGAGGGTGAGTAACAAGAGAGGCGAGAACACGAGAGAGAACAGGACGGTACGTGCGGTAGTAGTCAGTGACAGGAGTAGGGAGCGACACAGTGAGGGCCGACTCAGGAGGAGACGGAAGCACAGACTGAGACGGACGAGGTGGACTAGAAAGAAGGAAGGCAGTACGAAGGTCAGTGAAGGGAACAGGAGACGAGGGACGAGCACGAGGGGAGCGACGAGTAGCCCAAGAACGAGACGGAGGAGGAGAGGACAAAGGCGGAGAACTGGGGAAAACAGCGGGGGAGGAGTCAGGAGGAGGAAACGTGGGACCGTAGACAGGAGGAGAGGCGGAGGAGGGAGGAGAAGGGGAGGGGAGACCAAGGATCCGAAGACCCGAGACAGGAGGAGGAAGTGGCTGCTGCTGCTGCGGCTGCGACTGCTGCTGCTGCTGCGGACGCGGCTGCTGCTGGGACTGCTGCTCCTGCGGGTCCAGCTGCTGCTGCTGCTGCTCCTGCGGCTCCAGCTGCTGCTGCTGCTCCTCCAGTCGCTGTAACTCCCTCTCCTCTCTCTCCAACGCCAGCTGCTCGTCACGGGCACGGCGAACACGAGCCTGGTGCCTAGTCGGGTAGGGGTGGGGGGGTGGAGTAGTGTCCGAAGCAGCGGCAGCTCCAGAGTCCACCTCAGAAGAACTAGGCGCACCACCCCCAGAGGCAGCACTAACACCAGCTCCAGAACCAGGCTCACCTGAACCCGAAGGAGGCGCACCCTCACCCCCAGACGCAGCACCCCCAGTGTCCGCGCGGCCAGCACCAGCTCCCGGACGACAAGAGTCCTCTGCACCCACCGGGTCAGCTCCAACTCCAGAACCAGAAACTCCAGCTCCAACCCCAGCTCCAACTCCAGCACCCCCAGAACCAAAAACTCCAGTGCCAACTCCAGCTCCAACTCCAGCTCCAACTCCAGCACCCCCAGAACCAGAAACCGGTACAGGAACAGGCGCCGTACCAACCTCTCGAGAGCTAGCACCAGCGGCACGCTGCGAGGAGGACTATGGGGAGGGAGGCTGTACCGGAGGGGCTACCGAAGGAGGAGGGGTAGCCTGGGACACACCTGACGGGGCTGGACCAGGGGGGGGAGGCTGTACCGGGGGAGCAGGAGGGGGAACGGCAGTCACGAAGAGAGGGGGGGGAGGAACCGGGAGACCTTGACTGGGGTACCTGACGTAGTACGGAGTGGACTCCTCGAAACGAACGTCACGGGAGTCAAAGAACCGGTGAGAGGGAGGGTGGTAAAAGGTGAAGTCAGAGGAGTCCTCAGGGAAACCAAGGAAGACACAGAGGACGGCACGAGGCGAGAGCTTGTCCGCGGAGGTGTCGCGGACAAGAGCCAAGCACCCCCAGACACGAAACCGCGACGCAACACCAGGGGACCCTGTCCAAAGACTGGTCGGTGAAACCTCTGGTCGAGAGACACGTGGCCAGAGGTTCAGCTGGTGCGCGGCGTACCTGACCGCGTAGGGCCACAGAAAATGGGGGGCACAGGCGTGAGTCAGGGAGGTGCGGGCGATCTCCATGACCAGGCCTATGCGGCGCTCAGCAACCCCATTCTGCTGTGGGGACTCTGGAAGCGTCCAGGACTGACGAATGCCCTGCTCGCGACAGAATCCAGCGAGAATGCCGGAGCGAAACTCACCCCCACGGTCGGAGTGGAGACAGCTGACACGACGACCACGAGTGTCCTCAGTGGTGAGCAACCACCTGATCAGCGTAGAAGTCACCTCAGACTTCTTCGCCAGAGGGAACACTGTGGTGTAGCGGGAGAAGTCGTCAACTACCACCAGAAAGTAACGCTCACGCTCAGGGCCTAGACGAGGGGCTGGGCCCCAGACGTCCAAGTGAAGCGTCTCAAAAGGCTCGGTGGCCGGACGAAGGGAGGAGGAGTGAGGGGTGGCGCGCAGCCTACCCTCGACGCAGGGACGACACGGCGGCGCAGGCGAGGGCGGCAGCGACGGCAAGACACGTGGGAGGCCTAGGACAAGACGCTGACTAGACATAGCGCGCAGACGTGGAAGGGACGGGTGCCCCATCCGGTGGTGCCACAGAACGGTGGGGTGGGCAAGCGACCGGCAGGAGCACGACGCAGCGACTGGAACAGACGTAGGAACCTGACACGACACAGACACCTGGGGGGACGTAGCAACCTGGTGAGACGCGGGGACCCGAACGGGGGGGGGAACCGGGGGCAGTGGCAGTAGGGGGGGCTGCTGGTGCGGCCGCTGGTGCTGCTGCTGCTGCTGCTGCTGCTGCTGCTGCTGCGGCTGCTGCTGCTGCTGCGGCTGCTGCTGCGGCGCACGCGGGCCAGTGTGAAGAGTGTAGAGACCCGAGCCCGGCTCAGCAGTAAAGGTAGCAAGAGGCTGGTAAGAGTCTCCGTCAACACACACCGCAGTCTCTCCAGAAGGCTCAAACCACACACCCACGTGCTGACTCACGAGGGGTCGCACGCCCACCAAGTTCCGGGAGAACGAGGGGACGTGAAACCCAGTGAGAGACCCAGAGGGAGCAGCAGGACACGGTAAAGTGGTAGTGTGACGTGCAGTGACTGGTCCCGCAGTGGGATCAGCCAACGCTACAGAAACAGGCGCAGGAAGTGGTGTAAGTGTCGTGCTGTCCCGAAAGAAGCAGTGGGAGGCTCCAGAGTCCAGTGTGAACGACAGCGAAGCGTCCTCTGAGGTAGTCGCTGGTCTAGAGTCTACACAAGTACCTACACTAGCAACAGGCAACTGAGCAAGACTAGCACCTAAGCTAACAACACCAGAGTAAACAGAGTCAGAAACACTAGAGTCAACAATAGCATACATAGCATGAGGAGCACTAATCAGATCAACTAACTGCTCAGCAGACATGCCCCACAGAGCGGAGCCGTGGCGCTGAACCAGAGGAAGCCAGTCAGGAGCAGGACCGCCAACCCCGTAGGTCAACCGGACCGTGTCAGTGAGCTGAGCAAAGCACTGACCAGGGGGGTGAAAGCGGCCACAAGGGTGGCCCCGACGAGGACCTGTCCGAACCTGGTAGGGGCAGGGAGGGTAAGCAGCACCGCGCTGGGGCTGACGCAGCCCCGACCCCGGAGCCAGCTGCTGACGCTGCTGCTGCTGAGGCTGCTGGGAGGAAAGGGGCTGCTGCTGCTGCTGAAGGTGCTGCTAACGCTGAGCCTGGTACCACGCCGCTGCTCCACCTAGCGGGGCCGGCAGTACAGGAGGCGACTGACGAGCTCGAGGGTCGCCGCCACCAGCAGGTGCAGTGGAGTCACCAGCCGCTGCACGAGGGGTCTCTCCAGACGCTGCACTCCCACCACCGCCAGTCGCAACAGCACCCCCACTACCTCCGCTACCTCCGCCTCCACCTCCACCGGAACCACCTTTCTTGCCCCCCCTGCCGCGGGACCGCGACGCAGTCGTAACAGCAGCCGCAGTCGCGTCAGTAGCGGCAGTGGCAAGAGAGGCAGTGAAGGTGGGTAAGTGCGGGACTGTGCACCCGTGGAAGAGTGGGGGGGACACAGTACCAGAGGCGGCAGCTACCGAACGAAGGTTGCTCTCGACGTCCTTGAGTGCAGACTCAAGGACCTCGATAGTCAGCTCACTAGGGTGCTTCAGCAGAAGCGCGTCACGAACGGAGGCAAGGCGGTCAGGGAGGCTAGTGGCGATGAAATAGACAGTAATCGCCATGGGGGGAGGAAGCAGTGCAAGCTGTGCCTCAGTGCAAGCAGCGCGGTAACTAGCGTCGAGCGAGCGGAGGTGAGCGATCAAGTCAGCAGAGCGCTCAAACGAGGCAAGATCAGGAAACAGGAACGGGAGGAAAAGACGGCCGAGAGAGACAGTAGCGGGAGTAGAGTAGCGGGCCTTAATCGCAGTGAGGTACGCAGCAGCGGTGCAAACCTGAGTAAAGTGGACCTCCTCGGACTCAGGGAGGAGGCTGCTGAGTGCGATGCAGGCCGCAGCGTCACGCGACGTCCAAGCCGTCCGGTCAGCGCGCTGACGGGCAAAGCGAGCCGTAGCAGCGTCGTCAGGAGCAGGGCCTAAAGCGGTAGGCTCGGGGGGCTCGGGGAGGTCACCAGTAGCGTGTGACCAGAGGGTCTCGCCCCCCTGGACCTGACTCTCTAACAGACGACGAGCGCGAAGAAGCCAGACGGAAAAGTCAAGGGGTCTACCGTCAGCGTCGAAACGAAGAACTCGCGGAGTCGCCATAGTGAGAACCAACGCGAACGAACAGGCGAGTAACAACCGGGGGGGAAGAGGACTCAGTCGCAGCGGAAGAGCGGGCTAGGGCGACGGGCCAAAACGTAGGGTAGGGCAACGGGCCAGGGCCTAGGGTAGGGCGACGGGCCAGAGCCTAGGGAGGGCGACGGGCCAGGGCCTAGGGAGGGCGACGGGCTAGGGCCTAGGGAGGGCGACGCGACGGGAGAAAGGGCGGGAGCGACGCGACGGGGCAGGGCGACGCGACGGGACAGGGCGACGCGACGGGGCAGGGCGGCGCGACGGAGCAGGGCGACGGGACAGGGCAGGGCGACGCGACGGGGTAGGGCGACGCGACGGGACAGGGCGACAGGACGGGACGGGACGGGACAGGGCGACGCGACGGGACGGGACAGGGCGACGCGACGGGACAGGGCGACGCGACGGGACGGGACAGGGCGACGCGACGGGACAGGGCGACGGTACGGGACAGGGCGACGCGACGGGACAGGGCGACGCGACGGGGGGAACGGGCGCGACGCGACGGGGGGAACGGGCGCGACGCGACGGGGGAGATGATGCTAGGCTCGGTACTAGGCGCGGTAACAACTAAACTGGTACGAACGAGAGGTAGGATCAGGCTCGGGAGGTACGAACGGAGAACGGAGGAACGGGATCCCACAGGATCCTAACCTCGCTCTGATACCATGTCAGAATGAGGAAATGGATGTTGCATTGATGTTGGTTGGGGTACATATGACAAGCCCTAACTTCTGTACCCCCTAAGACAAACCTCACTACAGGCTACAACATTTGACACGATTTCGACTCACCTTAAAGCCCACTAAACCGTTATTGGAACACCATACCTGCCCAGTGCAAGTTGGCTACCGAATGCGTGAAAAACCCAGTCCGAGTGAAGTTGAGGACGCTACCACGAAAATGCTTGCTCAGGCAAGCTCGACCGCCAGTGAAAGTCAACCCCATTTCTGCTTTCCAGTTCCACTCAGGCAGGCCTGCTCTGAGTGACACACTGTATGGTAGATGCTGCATTAGTTTCGAATCGGGTCAAAATATGCTTTTCAGCCTGCTCGTTCATGAGATCGTGCGTGTGCGTGATTTTCTTTTATCCATATCGAGGGTGTTTCATTTGGCGGGCTGTTTTTTGTTTGTAAGCTGGGCAGCCTCGTGCAGAAGTAAAAGTTTCGACCAGTAACTTCTCGAGAAACACACTGTAACTTCTCGCGTTTGTGGACGAGACTTCCTTTCAGTGTGAGTGGACGCGCGAGGCTACGAAACATGTCGTATGCTTCCCCAGTTCGAGTGGGCCCAATGTGAATGGAAGGCCACCGAACAGGGCCTTGATAGTCAGAGAATGCATCATGGAAGTTTCCACATGCATCTCAATTCAGAGAATATGTTGACCTGTTGATAAGTAGATAATCCGTACATAAGTTGCACAATGAAGCTGAGCACATAGTAAAATGGTTCTGAGCATGCATTTACTTATATTCTATCTGCTCGTTCTGCTATAGGGGGTATGTCACTCAGGAGTTAGACCACCTGCTGGATCTTACATCTCGCTCGCCATTCCTGAACCCCTCAGGGCGCGTGTGGTCTTTGAAATTTGTATAAGTTTATGTTTTTAGGGCGAATTTTAGTTGTGAACTTACAACGAAAGAAGTTCGAGTTTCCTTCTATCGAAGTTCGAACATCGGGCTTACCACACAGTAAAAAATCACACACACATACAAGGTCGAACCCCGACATTCGAACTTGTAAAAACGAGCCGAGCCGCACGTCAACATCATAGGTTACCCGGTTCGCTCGTCTTGACAGTGCGCCACGTCAACATTTTGCGCCTCGGTTTACAAGGACCTAGAGCTCCAACTCACCTTCCGCGCCGAGTGTGTAACCAGGGTACAAATAGCCCCCGTGACAACACCTTGTATACTCGTCATTCGCCCAACATGACAACCCTACAGCTGGTCCGCTTTCTCGGCATCGTATGGCAGGGGTACTTGCAGACGGTGATGCTTCCCGTTCTCAACGCTGTTGGCACGGCACTCCCCACGCTCGTCTCGGCCTTCACTCTCAGGCAAGGGCGGGAGTTTCTTTGACTGACGTCAAGACGGGCGGGACGCGTTGCCACATCGTGCTCGAACGTGCCACGATGCTGGACACGTGGCTACCACTGTGTGCACGAATTGTGGGGTGTCTTCGTTGTGCAACTTCATGCACTGGCGAAGCGCTCGCCCGTTTCGCCAGCTGTTCGGACGTGCTGCAAATCACACACGCTCGCATGAACGTGCGCACGCACGTTCCCGCCTCCGATTCGAGTCAAGTTCATATTTCAATCTCGAACTTACAATGCTTGGTTCGCGAAGCACCCTTCGCGAAATTAGCGAATAGGGTAACCACCCAAAGTTCGAACTTTATTTTGAACTTCTAAACAGACCACACGCGCCCTCAGCTTGCTAGCAATCAGACAGCCGCCCCAGTTTAAAACCAGAGTCCCAAACAGCCCCAAAGTGCCTCAACCTTCCTAACTTTGAGAAGGGGTGACGCAGTAGGTACGACTCACTTCGCAAATCGGGGGGACAATTTTCGTCACGCGAAACTACTGTTCTAGCGAGGACGAAAGCAGTGACGATTTCGCCAACAAATTTGAAGCCCATCCGAAACTGTCTGCGAACCAGTTCTGATGTTGCATTCCAGATCTGGTTATTTTCGCGAAATTTTCTTCCTTTACGACCCCAGACCACCAATTTCCACACCACCCTGGCTCGCGAGCCATTCACCTTTCTCTCCCCTTTCAACCTTCCTAACTTAGAAACTCTTGGACCTCTGGTTTTAACTCACTCACACCGAACACTAGGAGCCGTATCATTGACGATGTAGATTTGCTCCTGGATTATGTGAGGCGTCCAGATGTCACATGAATAACATGGCTCTTAGTCGCTTCCGTCAGCCACCCTCGCTTTCCCTGGTCTGCTAAAAACACCAGGTCATATTAGGTTTGGTTTGATAATGTTGATGCAATCATGTGCATGCGCTGTAATGTCGGTGCCACTGAATGTATCCGGAAACTGCGGAGTGTTTTCTGCCTTCCGATTCCACACACAGCCGCTCCTTTTCCTTTCCCGCCAGCTCGTTTTGCGTCATCCACGTGAATGCGCTGGCAAGGGGAAGTCTTGCTCGATCAATCTTAACCGTTGTTGAAGTTCTAGAATGAGCATGGAGTTCAGACGACTGTCGATCGAGCTGACCCATGTTAATGCGCTGGCAACCGTTACTAAAACTTTGGAGGGAGCGTGGGGCTCCGGTGACCTCGGATCGAGCCTAACAAGGCCCCGAAGCTGGTGGGGTCCGAAGGCTAGACCCACACCCATTCCGAACCGCGCAACCCGGACTGTGCGACCTACCAACGGTGAGGAAGCAAACGGCGATTCCTCCACTACCCGTGAGTAGAAATGGCATTGGCTCTTTGCCTTCAGTCACATCTCGTTTGCTAGAACCTTTCTAGAATCACATCCTGCGTGAACACTCCGCTGCTACTGGTTTTCACTGGAAATCCTGTTGGAACCCTCTAGAACTGCTGTTGCACTACTGCTGGTTCACATACTGCTGTTCATATTCGATGGCGTTTCTTAACCCCGAATCAGCTCTTGCTTTGGCCGTTGCTGCTGCCACTTACTTTGGCAACCCTGCACAATACACATGGGACGTTCCGAGCTGGCTCGCGTGCTCGCCAGCAAGCTCCACTCCGTTTGAATGGCTGACAGAGTGGACGGATGCTGATGAAAACGCGTTAAGAAGCGGCTCTGTCAAGAGCAGCTCAACACGGAATGATGAAGAAGAGCTTTTGCCGCTTCTTCTGCTGGCAGATTACGATCTGGTGGACCCTAGTGAGTTTATAACCACTGAATGGACGGCTGAGGATGAAGCGTACCTGAGGTCTGGTGCTCTGAGCCGTCGTGTCAGTGAGGAAAGCTGCGAATGGCTGGCTGAGAATGCACAGGGTGACCCAGCTGAATTTATAATAGTGTGGACAGCTGCTGATGAGGCGTACTTGAGAACTGGTGTTCTCAGCCTTGGTGACAGTGAGAGTGACTGCAAATGGCTGACAAAAAATTCGCAGGTGGACCCCTCTGAGTTCATCACCGAGTGGACAGACGCTGATGAAGCGTACCTGAGAGACACGACTCCCAGGTGCTTCTCAGCACCGAGTGAGGGTGACAGGCTGCTGCTGTCGCCAAAGCTGAAGCCTATGACATCAGCTGCTGTGGCTTACAAGGTTGGCAGGTTTGCTGAAGTGAGCAGCAAGCGGGAATGTCGTGCTCCTTTAGGCCTTTCACGGTTGAGACCTGCTGTGGTCCGGGCTACTGGTGCACCTATGGATGTTGTTGCTTCAGCTGGGGGTGCTGCTGCTGATGTTGTGGTTGCTGCTGCTGACGCTATGAGCGCCGCTGCTGCCAATGCTGCTGCTGCTATTGCTGCATCGCCTGCTGAATCTAAATCAGCCTCGCTGGTCAGATCCGCTTCTTGCAAGCCAGCAGCAAAGACAACAGCTTGCAAGCCAGCAGTCAAAGCTGCAGCTCCCAAGCCAGCAGTCAAGGCTGCAGCTCCCAAGCCAGCAGTCAAGGCTGCAGCTCCCAAGCCTGCAGTCAAGGCTGGAGCTCCCAAGCCTGCAGTCAAGGCTGCAGCTCCCAAGCCAGCAGCCAAGGCTGCAGCTCCCAAGCCAGCAGCCAAGGCTGCAGCTCCTAATCCTGCAGCCAAGTCTGCAGCTCCTAAGCCTGCCGTCAAGGTTGCAGCTCCCAAGCCTGCAGCCAAGGCTGCAGCTCCCAAGCCTGCAGCTTGCAAGGCTGCAGCGAAACCAACAGCAGCTCGTGTGGCACCCCTAAGGCAGGCAGTGCATAAGAGGTCGCAGGGAAGAACAAGGAGGACAAGTGGGTAAATAAGTCAGGCTGCACAAGCAGCCTCACAGAAACATTTATCCCAGATTCCTAGAT